TATATATATATATATATTGCTTGTACATATTTTTCTTCATTTAGTCAAATCAAATCCTTAAATTTGCTTAAACAGGGTTCAAACTAAAGAAATCAGCAAATATATTCAAATCATCATGTGATATTATGCTAAGACACGGTACACCTGTGTTTACATAATTTTCTTTAATCTGGATAACTAAAAATAAATTCTAACTTCTAGATATTCAATGAATTTCAAGAGCTCGGAGATGGCCATCGAATTTTGAATTTTACGGTTGTAAACAGTTATTTTGGGGAGTTAAGCTGTACTCAGGGTGCATTATTACACGGTCATCAAGGAGTATTATTACACCATTTTCAGAGTGAGTTGTTAAATTATCTTCGGGTTCGTCACTACACAATTTTTTTTAGTGTGTTGTTACACTGTCTTAGGGATATATCATTACGTCGTCTTCAAGATGCATCGTTATATTGTCTTCAAGTTGTGTTGTTGCACCGTATGATTCATTGACATCAGCTAGCAGGAGGGCAAGCGGCTGTGGTGAACGGCTATTGATGAGCAGTTTTCAACTGTGGTTGGTGGTTGAGGGCGCAGGATACGTGTGGAATTCGATTCTTTCCCCCAGTCCAACTCTAGAAGCGCTGCTGACTCCCTTCCTCTCCTCCTCTGATGAATGCAGTAGTGCTCTATTCATAAGGAAAGAATTCGGGTCACTTCCTTGGATCGCTCGTAGAGATTCCTACGATTGGATGTTATTTTGTTTACATTAATGCTTTGATGATTTAAGAATTGATTGGTCTTGAGTTTAATGAATTTGCTTCATTGAGACACTCGCATTGTGGGCATCGAAATTCCATTGTTTGGAATTCAGATGCTGTCTCTCCCTTTTCATGGCTTGGAGTGAAAGACAACTTAAGTTGTTGGAAGGCATGGCCATGTGGGAGGCTACAATAATTATTGTAATCATTTCATGTGTTTTTTAAATATTTTTTTTCTCCTTGATCTCCACAAACCTTCATATTCAAAACGTATAATAACAAAATGTCACGAGATAAATTACAACTTTTCTAGGAACACATTTTATGGTTTTCAATAAGGTTAAATGAAGAATAGGTAATTTATGCAAAATTTCATGAGAGCCCAATTTCTTACGGCCCTTTGCATCACTTTTGATTTTAATTTTTAATATTTATTTATTATTTTACTTTATTTATGTTTTTCCTTAAAATAATATTAATTTGATATGATATATCATATTTAGTTTATTTTTAAATTAATCAAAATAAACTTAAGATATTTTGAGTTTCTTTTAAAAATAAGTTAGTTTCTTAAAATTTTTAATATAACAATCTATACACTTGCCCTTGAAACCCTCAAATCCCTCATTTCGGCCCCTCCTATCTTGTGCCGCTCGCGCACGTCTCACTCTGTAGGGGCTCCGCCGTCTTACTCCGCATTTCCACCCCGTCATTTGCCGCACGTCTAAAATTGAGGTGCATTTAAATACATACCACACAATTCTTATATATTTTCCATCAACTTAAGTATTCATATCATGTACGCATAAAAAATATCACAATCACTATCTTTAATGAAATACATATTTTTCTATGAGTTTGCGCCAAAAATAATTTATAATGTCATTATCAAAATTTAAATTTAACGGTGCAAACACATAAGAATTGTGTAGTGTGTATGTAAATTTACTTAAAATTAAATATTTATATATATTTAAAAAAGAAGTAATACATATCTTATGTAAATTAAAAATTCACAATAATATAAATCTATTGTTGGCCGCCCCCAAATCATCTCTTCATATGGCGTGGGCGGTAAGTCCATTAACGGGGTTACTTTCATAATATATTAAATTGTTTTCTTGGACTGCATTTTACATAATTAATTTATTTCACTGTAAATGACGACGTAACGGCCATGCCTCATCGCTGTAGGCCGATAATAACAATTTGGCTTAAATCCTTATATATTTTTTAATATAATGTACAACGACGGTACAAAATTTTTATATATTTACATGTATAACACCTATAGTTCTATTTTTATATAAATATACCCTATCTACATCTATGCATGTTGATACGCCACTGGTAAATTTTCTTTATTATCCGACATAATCGGGCACGAATCTCGAAGCATAACACAAATCTCAAGATAATATTTTAAGCAAGAAATATTTAAATCTTGATAAAAAATCATCCAGAGCTCCGATTTCAGCAAACTTATAGTCAAACTGACCGACTCGACGAGACGGACCAAATGATATAAAAACTAGCCCAATCCAAGTCAAATCAAGCCTAGATCAAGTCATTAGACCATAGTTAGAAGATTTATGAATATATTTGGAAAGTCAAACGATTGTCAAATATGACAAGTTTATACTCAAATCGAGCGGCTCGACAAGACGAATCCAACGAACCCAATATTACCTAATTCTGACATCATTAAGGCACTCAAATATCCATTAAACGCCGTATGATCGAAGGAAGCTCTCCGGACCGTCCGATCAAAATAGTTCATATTCCTGCATTAATTACACCCAGAACATTATAAATAGAACTTCATCCCTCTCATGAGGGGAGAGAAAATCTAGCTCAGCATCACCACCAATCGCCGTCGACCACCGCCGACCTCTGTCGTCGACCGCCGTCGATCACCGACGACTATCACCGCCCTCAGACGACCACCGCCGACCGTCGTCCGCCTCTACCTATCGTCATCAACCACCACCAACCAGACGCCGTCAGTCGACATTGTAATCTGAAAAATATAGTTACTCTTTCACGTCTGTGAGGTAAGGGATCTCTGCAATCATCAATTAAATAGTGGATTTCCGCAACTGGGCCAGACCCCGTGGTTTTTCCCTAACGGGTTTTCCACGTAAAACTTCTGGAGTCATCACCTCTTGTTTTTTCTTTCATCTGTGAGTATGCCGAACTTTCGTACAACGCTAACACGATAATTTATTTCTCTACCGCCGCAAATTTTCTTCCACGCATCGCAGGTAAAGATGCATCACTTTCTACAAGTTAAATAGTGATATTTATAAAGCAATATGAAAGATTTGGAATGGTATAGATATAAAAATGTAAAATTTAAATATTTGATATATGTAAATATGTAAGAATTGGATGTTATATGTGTAAATGCCCCCCAAAAAAATCCTGTTCACTGAGATGATTATTGATGCAGGTAAATCCGACTCAAAAGTTTATGTTTACCATTATATTATTATGCGGATGCACTCATGAATCGTGATTATGCGAGCAACGTTTTGCATATTATCATGATATAAAA